AGTCGATACTTTTGATGCTCGATATATCGAACTGATTGTGCGGTAGTTCTCGCATTTGTCTGCTCTCGCTTTCTTGGAAATCTGAAGGTATTTCATCCACTCCCACTGCCTTTTTTTTTGAGCGTAAGTCATTCAGAGCTGTCAAATTCAGATTCATTATACGACGCTTTTATCTGTTATAGTTAACAAAATTCTATACTTCCTTGATATTGCCCATAATACGTATTTTAACTTCCAATCCATCTCTGAGCCAACTTCATCCATTTATCATCATCACAGCCCACCTAACTAATATCCATCTTCATATTTCCTTCATCGTCTGCCCAGCGGTCATTTTCCAGAATAATTCTTGTGCCTTGTGGTGTTTGTTACCGTTCATATATATTTAAAAAATTTTTTTTAAACATTTTCAAATCATTTCAGATTTCCCAATGTCAATCTCAGCTTCAATACGGCTCCACTGTACGTACTCCAGCTTCTTAAATTCATCAGCTACGTCAACATCTAGCAATTTCCGAAACTAATCTTTCCTTCTGTTTACGATGTCACGCGAGTCTGCGAGCAGATGTGTCCCGAGTTTGAACCCCTTATTAACACTGGAATCTAATCTGCTTCCTCTGTATTAACAGGATACAGCATCCTTAATCAAACCGCGCTGTATTTCGCAAAATTTTATAACACTCTACATCCTTCTTCTTATAGCGTTATAACCCTGTGTGGGTCTTAGCTTGTTCGATGAGTCTTTTCCATTTTCTCCCATCATTCACAATTCTTCTCCATCGTCTATCCATCGTTTCCGTGGTCTCCATTCCATCACTCTTCTAGTTACCCTCTTTCCTTCCACTCTTTCATCAGCCTCACGATATCTGCTCCCTGTATGATTCATCCTAATTCTCCAGGAGCCATCACTATTCTGTATTGGACCATAGATTTTCCGTAATATTTTGCGTTCAAATATTCAAAGTCGTTGCTCGTCAAAGCTACTGGTCTTATCAGAACTTTATAGATTCTCAGTTTAAGTTCCCTCCCCAGTATTTTAGACTTCATTAAATTCTGATAGGCATAGTAACACCTATTACCATTCACAATACATGCTTTAATTTCATTAGTTACTGAATTTATAGTATTAATCTGTCAACCCAGGTAATTAAAATTCTGCACATGTTCAAAATTATAATGCCCTATTCTCGATTTATTTGTAACTTTCATATATTTTCTTTTCAATAAATTTATTTTTAGCCCCCTTAACTGTGTTTCTTCCAATGCAACTTCATTTCTGCTATTAATAGCTATATCATTATGCCCATGTGTCCTGAGATCTCAAGTTTCCGAACAGATGCTTCCAGCGTCAGGTTAAAAAGCATTTCAGAGAGAGCGTCTCCTTGTCTGACTCCCATATTTACATTACATGGTTTAGTTAGCTCACCATCTACTCTTACTACTGCCTTCGAGTCTTTCGACGTCGCTCTAATGAGCCTGACGTACTTAGACGGTATCCCTAACACCAGAATATCGCTTAACATTTGGTCTCCATTCAGACTATCACATGCTCGTCTCTCTCTCTACACTCTCCTCGGCTGAATTTTTCATGTTAGCCGGTATATGTTACCAGGCCTTATTGACGTCTACTCCCCTATCCTCTGCACTCTCTTCAGAATTTTCGCCGATTAAAAATTATTCAAAATTTTTAAGTGATGCTCTTGCTTAATTTCTACATCGCTCAGTCTTTGGACGCTGAAATTCTCAATTCTGTATATTTGCCCCGCCTCTTTTCTGACCTAGAGTCTTGACTCTGTCACTAAATAATAGAGTCACAGTCTTCTACCCTATAAGATCGCACGTCTAGGATGTTTCTTTCTCTGCTCCTATCGATAAGAACGTCATCAATGCGGTTATGGGTCATCCCATCAGGAAAGTCCAAGTGTGCTTTTAAATATCAACATGTGCTCCTGACGATCAGATTTTTCAATGTGGCAAAATTCACAAACCTCAACCCATTTTCACTACTAAATTCATGTAGACTCTCACGCCCTATAATTGCTTTGCAAACAACCTCCTGATGAATTTTGGCACTAAAGTCTCCGAGCAGAATTTTCATGTGGAATCCACTAAACTGATCCATAAAACTATCCTTTACATTATCATCCTCCTCTTCAGTTGGTGCATGCACATCTAAATTAATAATCAAATCACACCGTCGACCACGAAATATCAAGTGTGACACCCCATCACTGACAGATTCTACTCTTAGCTGCCCGCTGAAGATATCTTTTCACTGATAGAAACACGTTCCCAAGCAGTGGTCTTTATTCTCGTATCCATAGTGTAATAATAATAATAGCTAATGCATCCCACGCCAGTGTTCTATATAATACCAAATTCCACGTTCCAATTCTAGTGACTGGAGGCTGTTCCTCCATCCGCAACCTAACGTGGATGCTAGCATAACCCTAAAAGTAACGACAGAAATACAACTAAATTGTGTCTTCAGACCATGATTACACATTTCGACTGTTTACCCCATGGTGTATGACCCACGCCATCCACTAACAATTGGCTCCAAATGTTGGCAATATGCCTCCAAATTATACACCGAAATAAAAATAAAAAGTTTCATAAATATAATACGCGTACCATAACATTTCCAGCACATATTTATCAACTACGATTCTGTAGTTCAGAACAGCCTTGCGTGCTGCCCGCAGTCAAGTGGACGAGTTTCCGGCAAAATTTTGCTTCCCCGATTTATCGACCGAAACCTTCGGACGAGCGAGAAGATCGCAGCTTTACCCACACAGATACAAAATTTTTAAAATTTCCTCGTAACTTAAAGCGTCAGAATTTTTAGGACCGAGTGCTATAAATTGTCAAAGTTTTAACATCGAGTCCAATCAGCGACAAATAATCCGTATTTTAAATATACTTTTCCTACAACATAACGGTTAAATTTCGCATCGATCTCTCTTCGACGACGGCGTATTGGCACGATTCACAAATTCTGTGCTATACGTCGTATATGAATTTTATACTTCACGATTTAGAACGTATGAATGATCAAATCACCACGGCTACGAGGCGTCGCAGAGGAACGCGAGACCTTCGCTAACACGACGACTTTGCCCATCTCTCAGATGGAGAACGACAAGATCATCTACCGCATCCTTTACAATCATTCCACTAGCCTAATGGCTAGAATCTTAATTGCCTTCATTAAATCCATTTCATTGTACAATGTCATATATGATTATAATATATATTATTCCGTTTACACGACGTCTTCCAGTAATTTATGCCTTATTCCTAACGTTACGTTGTTTGGTCAAATTCTGATCTTCCTCTATCCTATCAAAAGTCTAAACTCAACTGCGTGACATAATATTTATCCTACCGTTAAAATTATTAATTTAATTATCAACTTCCAGTCTAATCACATCTTCAATACCAAATACTGCTCCTGTAATTGTTAATATTATGAATAATAGTGAATCCTCCTGTAAAATAAAACTTGAAATTCTAGAATCTGCACCTACTCAAATAGTTAGGGAGTCATTTCCAAATTTATCAATTGTAAATATTATTGTTTACTAAAATCTGATACTTGGTTTCAAACACTAGATACTGCTCCTGTAATTGTTAATAATATTGAATCCTCCTGTAAAATAAAATTTCAAATTCTAGAATCTGCACCTACTCAAATAGTTAGGG